CTTGACCTGATTCCTTTTCAGCCTGCTGTAATTACAACATAACAACCCTCCTTGCGGATGTTACTTGACAGGTTTGGTCATCTTATAGTTGAAAACAAATCACTTTTGTTTCCTTGTATAATTCACGATACACTTCTCTGCAATTGTTGACACTGATGTGACATTGTTTACTCATGCAGTATAAGTGAGCTGCTATCTGCATCGCATCAACATTGTCTCATTTGCAAGATGGCTCCTGCTCCAAAGGTGTTCACCAAAGCGAATGACAGACTCCATCAGTTTCATGTTGATGTCATCAAATGTCACTTGAAACAGGACCAGCTCATCTTGAAGTTTGTTTCAATGTAAGTCATTATTAATTTGCTACATTCAGCACTGTCTCAATGATATAGAAATAACCTAAATATCTCAACACAAATTGTAGCATAACAATTAAAATAGTCCCAAAACTTTTTAAATATCCTTCCTCACTAATAGATTATGTAATTAATGCCATCCCACCGCTGCCACCAATGAAACGAATATGCGCGCTCTGTTCGGTCGGCTACTCGGGCCTCGCATGTTTGCGGCCAAACAGCAGAGCCAACAGTTACTAGCTTCCGCTTGTTGTCTCCACATCGTGAGAGGTCAAAGCAGAAGTAAAGTTCTATCTCTCAATATCGGATATTGTGGTAGTGTCTCTCCCAATCTCAAAAATATGGTAGCGTGTCTCTTAACTTCAAAACTTATGGTAGTGTGTCTCTAAACTTATAGTTGTGTGTGCCGGCGTCTTTGATTGTAGCGTAAAAGTTCGTGGGGTGAAAGTATATCACCAAGAAAGGATTTATATTAAAGAGTCTCGTAATAAACTCAAAATAATAACTTTTAGAACTTAGTCCCATGACTTCAAATGTAGTTTACAAAACATTACATTCTTTCTATAAACAAAATAAACCCATGTTATTGCATTTACAGTCACTTTATCTAAGTTAAACATTTGTATACAAGCTAGGGATGAATAATTCTCATACTTTCATTCTTATTTATAATGATGGACAGACACAGTAGTTCATAAAACTTCAATCAATCTATTACACTTATGGATAATTACAAAACATTCAATATGCGGTAATTTAATATATGGAGTTCTTCTTGGCTTAATAAACAGATAAATATATTCTAAGATGCACATTTAAGGAGAACAAATATCAATGTAATCTCAGTATAAATTAGACAGGTCACTAACTTTACAAATACTTCAATTCAAACAAATTATCATAAATTCATGAAATAATCTCTGATTTTGTAATGTTCACAATTCTACTTTTCAAGCTTCAAGTGATTGATTATTTGATTATTAACTCCAGTACTTAATTACGACATGTGAGTTTAGAATTGGAACGCTTACTTAATAATAGTATCTGAACTCTTCGACAATGTTACATAAATTAAAGCTCCGAAATCTACTGGAGTTAAAGATAATCAAATCAAAAACTGAATACCAATACGATTACAAGTTGGCTAAATCAAATTAAATTACAATCTTCAGCTTTATCTCCTTTCCTTAATACAACCATTAATTGTTAATAAAATCCAATTCATAAAAGTTTTTACAATAAAGTAGTAGTCATTTAAAATAGCAACATCAGTCTTCATTGAAATGCTACAAGATATGAGCTAAAATGTACTCTACAAATAACAGTAGAAACATTCTTGTTTACATCAATCAAACAAATCGTTCACTAGCAAAATCAAAAATTGCATAATCTTAAGTTTCGAATTTCAAATCAAATAAAAATGAACCTATATTGTTTCAGTATAATTGATAATTGTGGGCTGGCTTAACCCGATTGTTAACCCTTGAAAAATCTTGCTGCTGGTCAAATAAAATCATGCAAAAACATGTTTATGTTCACAAAAATGTATAATATTCATTTAAATATAAACAGACTAGTTTCATTTCAAATATCTAATTTTACTCAAACCTGGTAACATAAGACTTTAAAGCGGAATAGGATATAAAAGAGAAAATATTTCAAGATAAAGATTGTTGCAATTTGAGCATCGGGTAAATTTGTAATACATCTCCATCCACCCTCATTAGTAGGACAAATGCTGTGTCCATATGTAAACAAAAACATACTACCCATGGTGAATCATTAATTTGGTTTACAATTATAACATTCTCTAAATATGTTCATCTCCATCTGCCCTCATTAGTAGAACAAATGCTGTGTTCATGTGTAAACAAAAACATACTACCCATGGTGAATCATTAATTTGGTTTACAATTATAACATTGTCTAAATCATTTGTATGAGCAATTCTGTCTAATACCTCTGAGTCAATGTTATTCAGAAGGAGAAAGCATATAATTCAAATAATGGCGGAAACATTGAAAATGGTTTCAGAAATAAAGATAAGTTAATTCCAATACTTTTAAATTATCAATTGACATTAATTTACACTGGAGAATGACGAGATAAGCAATAACACAGATCGGTAATAATAAACTTACAAATCATAAATTGCATACTGCAAATTATAAGCATAAATTAGATTGAGTCTACTTCAACATTCAAAACACTGATTTGGCACTATAGTCATTCTAAATTGCCAAATAAATAAAAAGAAGATAATTCAGAAAAGAAATTCCCCAGTTCCGTATATTCTCAACTACTGTTGACTTTATAGGGAATAATAAATCGAAACGATTATATAACTCACAGTTTTCCACTAAATAATAGCCCAAAGGTAATCAAATCTAATCTCGAGAAAAATACTCTCATTTTTAATTGCGAACGAACAATTTTGCATACGCTTAAAGATATTTCATCTTCTAAATGGTAAAATGCTACATAATTAGGGCAGCCAAACCTCCCCTTTAACATGGCCATGATTCACAATAAGTCTTTATTCAACCACGAGCTGTGAGAAGTATAACAGAATCATAAAGAAGTAATATCCATTAGTCAGTTAAAACAAAACTGAAATCAATCTCAATACTTAAAATGGAAATAGCCTATTAAAATAAATGACATAAGATTCATTTTCTAATGATTTTACCTAACTTAAAGATGTACAAAATTTGTAAAATAATTCAGTACCTAAAAACATCATTTGGTCAAATATATTTTAAAACATCCAAAACATGTACTAACTTCTGCTACTTAATTCATATCTTGGAACCCTAGCCTCCATCTCAACCTCTGTTATTAGTATTCAAAATCTAGCCCATAATTTTTGTCATTAATTTCTCACCAATTCACTTTTAAACAAATTAACTGAAACTTTAACTGTTGTTTGAACAAAGGTTGTGATGAAAACCCATGTTTATCAAATAATTCAGTCAAATCTTAATTACACACTGTTTCAGCAAATACATTTCAACCAGTAAAATCATCAAACAATTATGTTGCCCTAAAAAGCAATTCTTACATAACGCAACAATTCAATTGTCCAAGTTACAACAGTTACCTCCTTAAAATAAAATACAAGTTTTACAACCAAAATACATGCTAATATTCTTCGCCTAATGTTAAAACATAATGAATTACAAATCAACAGAGAAATATTTCTTCATCAAAAGACCAAACTTCTTACCTTGTCTAAAACCAGATTTAAATCAAACTGATTAACCAATTAATTCTCACAATAGCCAACATTGTCAAATAATAAATAAACCTTAGTATGACTGTCCATGTTGCCAATATATTTGAACAACAGAGGCTCCGTTTCTCTCACCCAAGTCGAACTAATCTCAACAACTTGTTGATAGCCCATCTAGAAAAGCTGCTTTTGTCCTCAGGTCATTTTATGTGTTCTCCAGATCCCCTCAAATTCGAACTGAACTTGTCAGCTCGACTCCTGCTTATATTGCCTTCACCTTATATAGGTGACTATTAATAGACCCTGTTGTAATATGCTATTTATAGACAATTTGTAATGCTTCGTGACCGATAATTTGTAACATAGACAGAAATCGTGATTACATTAATTGAAAGTTATGCAAGATTCGTGATTCTTGGCATTCCAAAATGACTAAAGTGAATTCCAAGAGTTTAATTGGAATGTTAAGTGGCCGCTGGAGTTAGAGATAACAAATTTGGAATTAACCGCAAGAATCTGAAACTGATCCTAATTAGTAATCATGACTTTAGAATTAGCTAAGAGAGGAGAGGGAGAGGAGAGAAGAGGCTAAACAATAAATAAAAATCCATTTTTGTAACAATAGTATTAGGTAAAAAAAGACAGGGTCGTAATCCTCTACTCGGGGGGGGGGGGTTCCCAAAAGATCGAAAACAAATTTTATTAACAGGCCTCATTTGCCATTGAAATGGATCTCTTAATGTTCGCTGTAGTTTTATGAGTATTCTCTACAAGTATTGATCGAGTAACTTTAATAGTATTACCGTAGGTTTGAAATGATGATGTTGAACTGATGTTAACGTCATTCCCACGATTTCAAATTTTACTTTCCGCATGCGCAGCACTGAGAGAGGCTCATGATTGTTCACATGATTACATCCTGCAATTTGATTGGAGATGATGCAGGAGATGACATAATGGGGAATCCCCGAATACGATAGCATAAGAATTGTGGGAGCTACTCACTTCTTCTACCCTCTACTCTAAAACTCCAATACGCAATAACGTTTAGTTCAGTTAACTTACCTCCCATTTGAAGAGCTCTCAAGTAGGGTACAACTTCATCTACATCCGGGTTCTTTCCCATTGGATTACTCAGGGGTGCAATTTTCAATGCCACACTGTGGCTTTATTAAACATTTATGAAGAGTTGCCTTTGCACAAACTAGATATGTACGTAATTAACATATACAACAAGGCTTTTTGAACTATAATCCCCAAATCCAAGGAATCTGTAGTTGAAAATGCCGTCCTATTCCAGTGACGTCACTGATTTCTGGGCATTTACTATTATAAAACCCTCTTTGCATTCTGGAAATTCTTGTATTGGTAACATGTGATAACTAATGCTCTGTTGTTGTCTCTTATCTCAGTCACCCTTGGGAGACAGTGGTCCAAGCAGCATGGAGAAAGTACCCAAACCCCCACAATACCAGTGTAGTAGGAATAGATGTTGTAGATCGCAAGGTTGACAAAGGAATACTGAAATCTCACAGACTTCTCAGCACAGAATGGGGACTTCCAGACTGGGCTGCCAGGGTATGTAGTGAACCTTTTCTTTTCATCACACTTTCATTGCCACTTATCTGTTCGATTTGAAACTTTACAGAGTAGAACAGACTAGTGCCAATATCTCGCTAGGTTTTGAGCAATTACTACGTAAATTTCTTGGCAGTCATTTTCAATTTTCAAAAAAGTGATATTTTAACACTGTGTGTCTTGTTTTCTTAACTTTCCTTTTTATTTACAAAATAGGAATTGTAAAAGTTACAAATTGAAAGTCTTGGTGAAAACTTTTTCTCAATTGTTGGTGATACATTTGTGTATGGATCTGGCAAAATACCTTCTATATGTTACTTAATATTACATGCATTACATTTAGACTCCCGGAGAAAGGACCAGGGTTTTTCTGGAAATTCAGTGTAGAATTCCCAATTCACCCAGCCTCAGAATAATGTTTTGTTGTAAAACCTGTAAATTTAACATATCTAAAGAGCTAAGCACTCTGCATTTTAAACCATTCATTTAAACATAATAGAGTACCACTACACCTGGACTTTACACTCATCAGATAGTGGCCAACAGGTGAATTTCTCTGGTTGTTGATTTTATCAAAATCACCTGTTTTGAAGATTTTTGAACTATTTTCATGTTAAAGTTATAATTTTTCTGTTGTTTTCATTTGTCTTGCCTGTCATCAGGTTGTCTCTTTTATTCCATAGAAAGTTACATTGCAATCCTTTACATACGTATAACTTAAATGTTTTAAAATGTACCTTTTTATGTCCCCACCACATAGTGTGGGGCCATATTGTCGGCCTAGGCGCGTCCGTCTGTCTGTCCGTCCGTCCGTCCGTCCGTCTGTCCGTCCGTCTGTCCGTACGTCCGGGAGTTTTCTCCAAAACCGCTACAGATATCACCTTCAAATTTTCAGGGATAACTTATGAGTGCATACAGATGTGGATGAAAAAATTTTAACTCGATACCTACTTCCTGTCGGCCATTTTGAAGTCAAATGCTAAAATCCTTGTCTGCAAACTTTAAGAAAAATGGCTTCACAGTTGCTTTTAAAACTTTAACATCTTGTTCAGCTCACTTCATTCTAGATCTGATTAGGTTTTGGACCTGTTAGCTCAGTCATGTCAGCCATTTTGAATGTCTTAAGAAAAGTTAGCGCACGATAATACTTTGTATCATATTGAATGGTGTTTTTGAGTTTTCATACTTTAACTATTTAGTAGCTTTATAAATGATTTCAGATCTACTTTGTTGTAAAAGCCTATGTTATTGTTAACAGTAGTAATATGTGATAATTTTGTAAGAAGAAATCAGCAAAAACACATAATCACTTTTTTATTGTCGGCCATTTTGGATTTTTCCGTCCTAAAATCTTGTCTGTGAAGTCTTGTCTACGTGTTTTCAGGTGAACCGTTTGGTGGATCAATTTCAAATTTTCAGGGATGATTCTTAGTATAAAAATCTAGATCTGATTTGTTTTTTGGCATTCTGGGTAAATGTCAAGGCAGCCATTTTGGATTTTCCGTCCTAAAATCTTGTCTGTAAAGTCTTGTCTACGTGTTTTCAGGTGAACCGTTTGGTAGATCAATTTCAAATTTTCAGAGATGATTCTTAGTATGGAAATGTAGAACTGATTAGTTTTTTGGCATTCTGGGCAAATGTCAAGGCAGCCATTTTGGATTTTCTGTCCTAAAATCTTGTCTATGCATTTCCAGGTGAACCGTTCTGTAGATCAATTTCAAATTTTTAGGGATGATTCTTAGTATGAAAATCTAGATCTGATTAGTTTTTTGGCATTCTGGATAAATGTCAAGGCAGCCATTTTGGATTTTCCGTCTTAAAATCTTGCCTGTAAAGTCTTGTCTACGCGTTTTTAGGTGAACCGTTTGGTAGATCAATTTCAAATTTTCAGGGATGATTCTTAGTGTGAAAATCTACATCTGATTAGTTTTTTGGCATTCTGTGTAAATGTCATGGCAGCCATTTTGGATTTTCTGTCCTAAAATCTTGTCTGTAAAGTCTTGTTTACATGTTTTCTAGTTAACTGTGTGACGGATCAATTAAAATTGTGTTGGTAAAGTCTTGTCTACTCATTTTCAGGATAACCATTTCATGGGATCACCCATTGGTGGGGACATTTTGTACACATTTGTGTTCTTGTTCACAGTTACACCACTGTATGTATTCCTCCATTTATGTCATTCACACCCACAAATTCATAAAGAAACAGATCAAAAGTACTATGAAAGGACCAATTCAGTATTCCTAGATCTTTAGAACGATAATTTACAAATTTGGCATATATCTTTTTTTTCTTTGGTGATTATAGTTAATAGGAAAAGACAAGATAGCTTATGGCAGTGAATACTCAGAGGTAGACTCAACTTCAAGATCCATGACACTTAAATCCAGAAATGTAAGTTGCGTTGTGTTTTTAATTTTATCGACTTTTTTTAGATACCAATAGCACTACTTGACATCATTCCGACCCATTTGATATATTTGACATTGAACCTTGAACAAGAGATTGGCATTGCTTGCAAAATTTATGATTAATGTCTCATTAAGTTTCTAAAAATTGTGTTCTTTAAACTTGTATGTACGAAACTCATTCTAATTGTGCAAAAACTTATTTAGAGTCTCAAATCATCATAAAGTTCTCAATATTGTTATGATGAAAATAAGGTCAGTTGAAAGATATTCAACAACATTATACAGGGGGTGTTTAAAGTTGGTTGATTTCAAGCGTCCTTGTTCTCGAATTCACATTCTGCGTCACCCTTCTCATAAGTAAACTTAAATTTGAATCTAAGGACATATTATCTTTTTTTCAGATAACATTCTGTAACTATATCTCAATAGACGAAACCTTAATATATCAACCACATCCAGAAGATCAGAATCGGTAAGTCATTTCTTATATTGAACTTACACATTACATGTGAAACTTTCGATAAACGATATTTACCATCCTACGAAAATATGAAACAGTAAGAAATATTGTTCACATGTAAATAACAATGAATCCATAGAAATAATAGATATTTAGGCTAACTGAATTGTTAATAAATACAGTATTTGTATTAAGATAAAGTTCAATAGCTACATGCCTTAGCTTACATTTATCTCAGTTTTTATTATATAATCTTGTGATATACATATCTCACAATCAATTATTTGGACTTGAACTTGGGCTTATGACTAAAGATCAAAGTTTAAATAAGAACCACATTCGCATAAAACCATGCTATTTTTATTTTGTATTTTCACTTAAGTTTGCATGTTTTTACTTCTTACAATTTAATACTGGCAAACTGTCCTTTTCGATGTTCTTTGAATCCTACTTTATGTTAGACTTCATTGTTGATAGTTAAACAGTGTCTTATTTTAACATCTTTGGGGGCTTAATCTGTTAAGGGAGACTTTAAGCTTGTGATGTTATTCACAACGTATCCATGATCGCAGTCAATGAATCAATACAGTAATGTGTATAGCACGCATACAAAACAAGCGCTACTTAGTCTGCTTCAGATACCCAATCAGCTTCAGTTTCGTGTTTAGAACGGGAGATTTGCAATTTCACATTGTTGTCAATTGGAATCATTCTACTCATGTCTATTGAATACTATGCTGGCAATTCTGATTTCGATGCACAGTATAATGCTTTCTGAGGAAAATGATGTATGTCATACATGTTTTAGCTCCAAATATCTTACGAAACGAGCTTGTTTGATAAAATATGTATCATAGAAAACCAGCTATATAACTATCAATGGCATATTACACGATGATATGTAGTCTAAGTAACAGTAACACTGCAACTGAACGATTGTTTATGTGAGAAAACGACATGTATTTGTAATGTATAGGGCGATTTATACGTACAGGTTGACGTTTTCCATTTTATAAACGTTGCTTAAAGTTTCCAATGTTAAAATGAAACTTCATTGCTATTAATTTAACCCTCCCCCTGAAAAAATAAATCTTGGGTCCCTTCTTTTATGTTTTAAAATTACTAGATATTTTGTTTCATCCTTTTGTCCTCATTTCATATTTCAGTACTTTATTAAAGCAAGAGGCCCGAGTGACTGTGAAAAATTTAGCATTATGCAGTTATTTCGAAAACTTGTTGACGAATAACATCTCCAAGAAAGCTGACAAGGTAGAAGAGACCACAACTGTGGTCACAATGCATGGCTTGTTCCTTGAGTTTATATTTCCCTCAAATAAAGTGTAATCAAGGTTGCGTTTTACGTGAGAATTAGAAAAGAGGGTAGGGACATTGTAAGGGAATTTTCCAAACATAAATGGAAAATTCCATCACACATTTTGGAAAATTCCACTCTGTTATTTCGGAAGTCTAACATCAAATTCAAGGGTGTAGAACAATATAACCTTTATTACATTTTAGGAAAAGGTACCTCTTCCTCTGTGCTTTTAGTTATTTAAGTTTTAGCTTCATCTAGATTCAAGGTGGAATTGGGTGCAGTGACATTTGATGGTTTTTGTGTCTTATAGAAACCTAGAATTGTCATAGTAACATACACCTTGTTTTATTCAAAATCTCTGTGTTTTACCTGAGTGAAACTAACATCATAAAAGAAACAGTCTTGAAAATCAGACCAACATTCTTAGAGTCTGTGTCAAATCAGCAAGAAGTTCTTCAAATTGCAGCCATATTAATAAATTATGATATCATCACCAGGGTTACACGACAAAGACTGTTTCTTATGCTGCTATATCTTACTAACACCCCAAACCACATTATGTAAGTGTACTTGTATTAGTGTACTTGTCCTAAAGTGCACCCATACTGCGTTGTAGGACCCTCCTAAGCCAGGAAGCGATGGTCCATGTGAAGGGCGTCCCCCTGGCTTCATATATGGAGGGACTCCTCACTAATAATATTTCAAAAAATGCTGGAAAGGTAAGGGAAATTTCCACCATCAGAAATGGAAAGTTCCATCTTCCAATGTCTGCAATGGAAGGAAGCACCAACCTAATGATTTTTTTTGAGCTAGAACAATGATATGTAAATTATATTCACCATTTAAAGTAGTGTTAAGTATGCATTAAAATATTTTTTTATAAAATTGTTTCTACTACTTGTTCACAATATTCTCTAAATTGGTTCCTAGACCAATTCTAGAAGTCTGGTGTTTTTGTGTAATTTTATTTTTGAATAATAAATGGTGATTTTGCCTGCACAACAAGAATTATTTTTTATATAATGAATATGTAACATTTAACATTCCGTTGTATTTGAAAATCTGACACATAATTTATTCAAAATTGACTTTAATTAAAGGCAGAATCAGATCTATAGGAAGTGGCAAAATTAAAGCAGCATGCACTGTTGACCTTCCAATATATTCCTTACAATCTCAAATATAATATCTCCCAAAATTCTGATATATATACAGATTAGTGAAGTTATTTAGGATTCAAAGTCCTCAAATAAAGTATACACTTTGGAGATATCTAGAAAAGAGACATGATAAGGAATGATATGAGCTCAAAATATTCTAAAATTAAAACAATCATTGTCATAAACTACCACTACTATTCTGCTAGATCTGATAACACCTTAAAACCATATAATATATCTGAAAAATAATATAACAAAACAAGCCTGTTTCACAACTGTTTTTGATTTTCCTTCCAGGGCAGGGAAGCAATGGAATGGGTCATTAGTAAAATAAAAGCAGAGACCGTGGATCTCTCTCAGGCAGCTAGGCAGAGTATGGACTCAGTGATGCACAACGTATCTAACCTGGAAAGTACTGTATAATGATGGAGAAATTAGGTAATAAAAGGAATGGAAACATCAACGAATCAGGATTTAGGACAGGTGTATGTGTGGATCTGAAGTATCATGTGATCTCAAATGATGCTCCGATTGTACAAGTTCCTACTGCTGGTATTGTGTCTTATGAATCTATATCAGCCTGTTACCTCATATCATCAATTCAGGGCCCAAAGACAAGCAGGCTTGACTTAAGAGGCAGGTGCAGCGACATTTTACTATAGCTAAAAAATTGATTACTCAGTTATATGAAACTGGGGAGATTGAGTCCAATAGAGAATCTTTTGCAGGATGAGACTTAGTTTTCTATAGGAATATGGCTTTTCTATGGAATATGGTAAAAGGATTTTCCTAACACTAATGGAATTTCACCAGTGGAATTTTCCCAACACTAATGGAAATTTCCCAAGACTAATGGAATTTTCCCCATAACCAACTGTGATTGTAGTAATGAGTTTTAAGTGTCATCTCAAAATAATCATTAAGTTAATCTAAACAAAGTTAGAGCCTGCAATATTTTGAAAATATATTGATGAAGTGAATGATTTTGGGATGAGATTCCATGTGGATTAAATTTTAAAACCAAGCATTCATAAAGTTATTAACTCATATTTGTCTTGTAACTTAGAAATAGGTTTTCCAAAAATGAGTATTAATTCAAGAGATTGTAATAGAAATTGGTCATGATTAGCTTTTATGGCTGAGATGAGTTCAAATTGAATACGCTTTTGCATATCATTAGGTCAAATTGCCCTACTAATCAACTTAGATGCTTCTTGACTGACTAAAATGAGATTCGGGAGATTTTTAAATGATCGCTCCAAATTTTCTAATATCACATTTACACATTCATAGTAGGTCCAATGGCATTCATTTTTGTGAATATAGCGTTGCATTGAGAATACTTTGAGACTATGTGATTAAAGCTCTGTGCATGTATTTTATGAGAATACATGTATTATATGTGATTTTAGTATTCCATGAGAGTACTTGTATTTTATGTGATTATAGCTCTGTACATGTATTTTGTAAGAATATGTGAATAATGTGAGGTCAGCTCTGTACATGTATCTATATGTGGATATAGCCCTGTACATGTATTTTGTGAGAATATGTGAATAATGTGAGGTCCTCAGGGGTCACTATAAATGTGTAATCCTTCATAACACCATGTGTGAGCTATTGCAATTTTTTCCAAGTGTGTCATACTTATATTGTTGAAAAAAAAACTGTTCTAGCTATTTTTGTATTTGAATAACAATTTGGAATTAACTTTGCAAAAATTGCAAAAATCTTGACAATGTCAACTTGTAAGAAATTGTCAAATTTGTCACATACAAGTGCAATGAAAAGAGTGGAAGGAAAAGAGTGCAATGAAAAGAGTGGAATAAAAACAGTCGACACTCCATTGTTCTCAAAAGCATTCTATTCTAAAGTGGGTGTTCTTCCAATTCTCAAATGGGTGTTCTTCCAATTCTCAAATGGGTGCTCTTCCAATTCTCAAGTGGGTGCAGCACCCACTTGGTTCAATGCTAGTGTGATAACTGTATTCACATTTCTATAGGAATCCCAGAAAATGAGATCATTCATTCAAATTATGGTCAATACTATAAATTATTTTGATGTAACCGAAAGTATGACTATTTAATTAGTGTGTACATATTTTTTCTATGTATGGATTTACATTCATTGTAGCTTAATTTATTATTTTCTATGATTGCATGATTATGTGTGGATAGAGACCAAATATGATAGCAGTGCCATTGTGTTAGTTGCAATCTAAATGTAAATGTTAGGTTTTTTATAATTGGATTTTTTATACATTTTGGATTGTATGGTGTAGTTATTTCTATATAAAGTCTTATTGCTTGTTTAAACCTTGTAAACATTGTGGTCAAACTTTTGAAACAAGTTCTAGTGTGCAGAGAGAAAAGCAAATTATTCTTCAGTTGTAAACTGATACAAATGTGTGAATAAGTGCAAAAGAGGTGAGAAGCAAGTCTCCACTTTTTATGCTGAATAAATTAAAATGTCATCAATGTAACCATGATTTTGGTGCCATCTTTAAATTGTCATTTAAAACAATTTAAAATGTGAATTAAAAAGTATCTTCTTGACAGGGATTGCCATAGCTATATAAAATGAAAATGGAAAATTGTCCAGATTGATATGCTAGAATTAGAGTTCTATGAAGAAATTTTGACTTTTCCTTATCTGCAATATAAGCATTGCCAGTTGACAGTCACTCCTGCATGTTGACTGAAGAATTTGTTGGGGAGTATCTATACTAACAACAACATGCTAAATACTTTGCTTTCCTGACGAGGTATATTTTTGAGTCCTTATTTGGACGGAACCCTCCCAGTCTAGTAATAGTATTTAAATATATTCATGTTACTGTAGTTTATTATTTTTTTATAAGCTTTGGTCATTTCAGTTTCATAAATTCCTAAAACATGTGTAAAACACTCTGTTGCCTCGTCATATTGTATTCAACAAGATCATGACTGTAACGAAATAAACTATTTATGCAGAATATTACTTATATGTTCTTTTAGTTAGTATTGCCTAAATTCATGAGCATTAGAAATTAGAACATAGATTTGATTGAGTGGATTAATGTAAAAGGTAGATTGAATCAGGAGTTCACAAAATATGAAATTTCTTAATAGATAGAAACATAGCACCATTGACCTCATATCCTTTATGTCTATGGTAGCCGTTTTAAAAGAATTCAATTACTTGATCTATTTTTTCAATTTGTGAAATTACTACTCAAGAATAGAACAAGCGCAATTCGGCTTTATTTCTCTGTGATGTATTGATTCCAGATCCGATGTGACAGAAATTATGGTCCCTTTTTAAAGGCCCTAAATGGCCCTGATTGTGGATACGATTAGGTAAAGAGTTGTATTTAGGTCACCATATAAATCAATGGAAAGTAGGACCATAATTTGATAGGACCTACTACCCTTTTACACCGGGTCTATATACTGGGTGTCACAAAAATGGTACCCTCTAGTTTTGAAATAATTTTCTAAATTAAGATAGTATTTTGTGAAAGAAGTTATCCCTGATCTGACTTTAGAGATAATATAACAATTTTACTCGGATGTTTTTTCATAAAATTGTGCATGATTTCTCAAAGGGTGTTGATGCTAAATGTACCACTGTTTCACTCAGTGAACTCAGGAAAATTCATGAAGATTTCATCATTATTAAGACAGCTTCGTGTTCCTCGTATAATGTCACATTATACTATTTATATGGCAGATAATTTTCAACTCTGATTCTTGTCAAAACATTCTCAATAAATCGTGGAACTATGCTGACGATCTAAAATTCCTGATCCAGTTACCATACAACTCTGTGACCATTTAAACTCGAAAACAACAGTTAATTATCCCAACGAACGAAGTTCTGTGGGGATATAGTGAAGCTGTCCGTCAGTCAGTCAGTCAGTCCGTCCGTCTGTCCGGAAGATAACTCGAATACTAGTCGACAGATTTTATTCATATTTGGTGGAAAGATGTATATTGGTGAATAGTTTTACGCAAAAATTTTTTTTTTCAAGATGGCCCCCAGTTAAAAAATGGCGGAAAGGGGACATACCATTAAGAGGCCATTCTCTGACTTAGTCATTTTTTCAAAAGTGTGAAAATAAAAAAGTTCATGAAAAGTTCTTAAGATATGCTGAATAACAAGTTGAATACATATATTTAATGATGGCACAAGCAAAAGTCTGAAAATTAACATGAAATGAAGGGTTTTGACAGATGCAAAAGATGGTAGATTTGTGATGAAGAAATAGAGGTTTTTGCAGTAACAACACAATTACCTCGAAGTTATCCGTTATGAGAGGCTGAGGACTAAACTTGACATAATTTTCAATCTCAGATTATCAGTAGTATCTAACTTTAGCCGGACAGCCACTCAAAATGTATATGGAGCCCATAAGATTCATTTTTCTCAATTGAAGTCACTATTTCTGTTTTTAGCTTCAGAGGATAGGAGGTACATGAACATGCTAAGTTTAACTAGATCACAAGCCGTACCACAAATATAAAGTATATAGGAATAGAGTTGATATGTGTGAAAACCTTAAACTTCCCATTTTATTGGGGATGGAACTTGTGGACCATGTGTATTTCTAACTTCTTCACATGTGCATGGATCTAAAATTGTGGCAGCCATCTTGGATTTGTCATATTATGTGGACATGGTTTTGGTTGTGCTGAATTTGTTTCAAAATAACATTTCTTGTATACCTTCGATAAGTGAGATAGGCATTTGAAATTAAATACAGATAGTATACTTGACATTTAATGCAGTAAACAGTAATACAATTCATTCTTACATAATAAGTGACACGCCTAACCATCGACAAGGTACAGTCACGTGACAGTGACAAAATATGCCGTAGTACACTTTTGATGTACTATGTCACTATTAACTGATTTTGAGCGAAGACTATGATGTAGGTTTGATGCAGGTTTTCAAAAATAAATTTTAGGAGTACACAAAGGATTTTATGTTTGATTTCGCGTGCATTCGATTTCAAAGACATTTATTTTTCTAATAACGTTAAAAGATCTTCGAGCAGTGCTCGATTTTTTTCGTTGTTAGTCTACCCATACGATTCTTCGGTTGGAAAAATGTTGTTTTTACACATTTTCTTTGATAATTTTCTCCCCTGACGTCTCAGAGAGTCGAATATTTTTATGAGAATGTGTTTCTCTAAACTACACAGTTTAGGACAGGTGAACATTTAATAAACATTCATGCATTTGATATGAAAAAATCAGAAATGTACGTTGTCAACTCACAGTGTATGTTGTCCCTGTAATTGAAATACATGAGTTATAATATTAAACATTGCAATGATTTAATTTCAAAATGCATTAAGGGTTTTATGCGTTACAAGTGATGTTCAACGAACATGCTCCTGTATCCCTAGTACAGATAAACAGGTAAAAGTGATTTTTTCGTTGAATGCTATTTTATTTTATGAAAGTATTAATATGGTGATCAATATGTGACCATGGCGTGTTTTCTTCCGACCTCTTTGACCACTCGACGTCGGTACGTTGCGTTATGTTTAGTTGCACTTTTATGAATTTTAATAATCTTAAGTAGTTCATGGAGAGATCTTGTACTACTACTTCTCATTGTTAATT